CATAGTGTACAACATGCAGGTACTTTGCCACTCCGGATGGTTTCGTCGATGCCCTCTTCACAAGTTAAAGCCCTGGCCTTATCCTTATCGGAGTCCCCAGCGCGCTGCTGAGTGTCCTGCCACAGACTGATCGTCGCTTGCATGCAGGCTGCTTGCATGGGGGTTCGAACATGTGCACATGCATCTACCGATACTGCTTGGGGGCTCAATACGGCTAGCAGGGCAGTGTGAATCGGATAGTCGAGGGCCGTTGAACCATGGCTGGGAAGCTCGACTTAAGTGGGGTCGCTACCAAGTGGGAGGGAGATGAAACCTTACGACGACGTGTGCTGGAGCACCACTGCCTTTTGCAGTGGAAGGACCCCAAGAGCACAGGAGTTGCCAGCATGAAGCATGCCAAGATGAACTTCTTGGTATTGAAACCCTTGTTCGAAACTTGGGCCTCGACTTCACCTACACCGAGAACACCGGGACTCCCAGAAATCAGGAAGCAGGCCCTGCACATGTGGCATGCACATGTGTGTGTGAGAGAGAGAGAGAGAGAGAGAGAGAGAGAGAGAGAGAGAGAGAGAGAGAGAGAGAGAGAGAGAGAGAGAGAGAGAGAGAGAGAGAGAGTCTTTTCGCATGGGTGTCATGAGTGCATAACACATGTTTCTTATCATCTCTTATGTGTACATGCCCAATATTGGTGTTGTGGCCTGGAGGTGCTCAAGCTACGACACCTTCTTCATGTTCCAGACCCCAAAGGACCAGCTCTGGTTTGTGATTCTTGGGGCTTGAGGAAGCATTGCTCCCTTTTCATTCGAAGACTTGGTTCTACTTCCCGGAGCGGGGAGCCTTGCCAGGATGTGTATGCTTAGTGCTCGATCCTCCTGTTCAGTAAGGGTTATGAGCAGTAGTAGCGGTTGCCAAGGATCCAGACCTCCGTTCGCTGAAGCGAATCCTTCTGGCAGCCTGGTTCCCTGAGAGGCTTCATGAGCTTGATATGCCAGTGGCTGTAGTGTCTTGGATGTTTGCTGGGTTGTGTTTGTTTTTGTTTCCGGAGGGCTGCTAAGGGTTCATGGTTCAATCTGTTGAGATGAGGTTCCTGCTGAACCTCACGATGAAGAGGATTATGAAATGGAGGAGGAGGAAGAGGAGGAAGAGGAAGCTTCAGCACCAGTTGCTGAAGTTTCTGATGAAGTGGAGGGTGCAGGTGAGGAAGAGGAAGCTGCAGCGCCACTTGCTGAAACTTCTGATGAAGTGGTGGGTGCAGATCAGGAAGAGGAAGCTTCAGCACCATGTGCTGAAATTTCTGATGAAGTGGTGGGTGCAGATCAGGGAGAGGAAGCTGCAGCACCTGTTGCAGTTGACAGGGAGGATGAGGTGATGGTGCTTTCAGACACTGAGGCTCCACACACTCCTGTGCACAAGCCCCTGCGATTGCATTCACGCTCGGGTCAAAAGCTTGAGTTCCATGTGCCTGGGCGACTTCGCATCCTGAAAATGCAGTTGGAAGCTGTGAAGTGTTGTGGCTGCAGTTGTTTGTTTGATATTGCATTCTGTTCTGCAAACCCATGTCCCAACGAGTGCATGGTGTGCAAACCCTGTGATCCAAGGATGGCTCGTGCTGGCCGTCTGGAGGCCAAGAACAAGGCAGCATCCTTTTGTTCGGTGGGCTCCTTTGCAGCATTCGGTTTGAAAGTCGAGGAATGTGGATCATGACTGGTAGTTTTGCCATGGTGCGATGTGGTGTAATGGTGCTATATGATAAGGACCGGACAACCACGACACCCTGCCCTACGATGGTGATGCAGTGGCTGGTATGATGATCAAGCCGCCTGAGGTGGTTGACCTGAGTGATAATGAGCCGGTTTCCAACGACCCGTCTGGTGACTTGCCGGATGGTCGGGTGTCTGCTGATGTAGCTGATATCCCGGTTCAAGAGGCGGTCGTGATGCAGGAAAGTGAGCAGCTTGGTCAGGTTGCTCTTGCTTTGCCGTGTCCTGATGCTCGGGTGTCTGCTGATGTGGCTGATATCCCGGTTCAAGAGGCGGTCGTCATGCAGGAAAGTGGGCAGCTTGGTGACGTTGCTCTTGCTTTGCCGTGTCCTGATGCTGCTGCTGTTGCAATAGAGGGACATGTGGAGGATGCAAAGGGCTCTTCTGATGGGGCAAAGGAAATGCAGAGCGCGGATACGGAGGGGCCAGTGGCAACGCAGAGCATGCACTCTGAGGGGCCGGTGGCTACAGAGGCTACAGATCTTGATGATTTCGGCCTCCCACCCCTGAAAAAAAGAGTTAAAGGCCAAGTGTATGCCCGTCTGAAGTCATACTTGCATGAGGCGGGAGTGGGATCTTGGGCCATGCTTGCATATGTGTTGTATCGGTTCATGTGTATAACGATTTGTGCAGGTGGTTGTGTCGAAGCAACATCAGGATGAGATGCAGAAGGCTTTGAAGGAGAGTAAGGAGGATGAGAAGCCTAAGAAGGGCAAAAAGGCTAAGAAAGCTGATCCTGACCAGCCAAAGAGAAAGCCTGGAAGGCCTCGCAAGCATGTGCCAGAGCCCTCGAGTTCCAAGAAGGATAAGGAGGAGGAAGCAGTCCCAGCTGCGAAGCCCAAAGCCAATAAGAGAAAGCATGTTGACCCCGAATCCCCGACAAAGCCCAAAGCAAAAGCAAAGGCCAAGGCAAAAGCCTTGGGAGTGGCAGCCGAAGGTGTGGAGCCCATTGTCGACCAGGGTCCCAAGCCCAAAGCCCGAGCAAAGGCAAAGGCCAAGGCCAAGGCCAATAAGGTTGTGCCAGCCGAGAATGTGGAGCCGATGTCTGCCATGGCCGCAGACAACGAGGTTGCACCTGTGGTTGCTGATCCGGGTCCGAAGCCCAAAGCCCGAGCAAAGGCAAAGGCAAAGGCAAAGGCCAATGCCCCAGCCGAGAATGAGGAGCCGATTTCTGCAATGGTTGCAGACAACGCCGAGGTTGCACCCGTGGTTGCTGATCCGGCCCCACAGCCCAAAGCCCGGGCAAAGGCCAAAGGAAAGGCCAAGGCGAGGCGAGTGGCAGATGAGGATGCAGACCCACCGGTCAAGAGGCGCCGAATCAGCAGCATTAGAAAGAAGCACCCTGAGCTGGCCAAGATGCCTTTGTTTGAGTATGTTGAGATGTCAGTTTACTGGACTCGATGTGCTGTGGGCCTCAAGCTGAAGCAGGGTGAACTGGAGAAGAAGCAGGAGGGATGGGTGTTTGTATGTGCATGAACTGTTGGGTTTTTGATCCGTTGATGTTTGTGCTTGGCCCACCCCTGACAGGTTATCTATGTCAGCAACAAGAGCCTCTCCATGCAGGACAACATCGACTGTGCCATCGACATGGTTGCTGTTTCTGCAAGGGGAATCTACAGGTGTTGTGCATCCCGTGAAATCATTCATCTGAGGCTACGATCTTGGAAGTCGCCCATGGTGATTGGCTCTCTGTGAAAGACCTCTTGGAGGAGAAGAAGAGGGTTTTCCTGTTGCGACACATGTGATTTCTGGAAGAGTGGATGCACTGCATGAATTACTGCACATGCCTTTTCAAAATTCTCTGCAACGTAGAATGTTTGCAATTTGATCAGTGATGGGAGCCTCCAGCGCATCTTTAATCGATGTGTTTGTGCTACCGTCTGCAGGGATGCATGCACAAGCATTGGCATCTGCACGCAGATTTATGTACCAGCTCGTGATCGTGTCATGTGACCAACGAGTGATCGGCTGCTGAGAAAGGGGATTCATGTATTGCTGGCTTCGTGTCTGCGAAATGCATGCATGCAACCCTCTAAACTCTCCTTCGGTCAAGTCTCTGATCCCTTGTTCGGCCCAGGCCTCATGCCGTTGCTCATCCAAGCTGCGAAGTTCGGCGTCTCGCTCCAGCGCGAACGAGGTCAGCCCCGCCCACCGAAGCAGGGCAGTTTCGGAGTTCAGGGTTCGTAATGGTTTTGGGGATGTATAGGGCAAAATAATTTAAGGAATTATGTTACTGGGTTATATTTATTGCTCACCCATGAACTCCTTAACCCACCTATATATAGGACCTAGAGTAGGCCCTTATTCCCTTTTTTAGGGTTCAGGTTCTTTTATGAGCCCCCATAAAACCAAAAAGGGCACCCTTTTTATTCCTAGGTTACTCTTGGGTCTAGAGGATAAGCTATATAGGTCCTTCGCAGCTTCAGGGCTGTTGGAAATCACAGATTTCAGTTGGTTCGGATTCAGAATAACATTAGACATATTAGGGTAGCAGCTAGAGTGACTGCTGGGTTTCCGACAATTTCCAAATGGAGTGTGGTTCAAATAGGCTACAGGGGCTTTGGCAAAAGAGAAGGGTATTAGGTTATGTACACATTGATCGGGTTCTATTAACCTACAGGGGGAATCATATATGGTTGTGGGTTTTCTAGGTATGGGTGTGGGATATAGCTACAGTTATAGGATCCTTAAGGGGGTGTGGTTCAAGGGGGGAGGGTACAAGGAATTCTTAGGGGAACCTTAGGGAGTACTAGGGAGAGTTAAGGATCACTAGGCTATATACCCCCCTTGGAGCCCCCTCCCTTAAGGATACTATAATGCTGGGAACAATGGTACTTGGCTATAGGGTCCTCTGGGTTCGGGGTGAACTGAGTTCTAGCATGCCTTGTGGCATTTGTTCAGCAGTCTTCTGCTAATCGGTTGGTACGGGGTTTTGATGTTCGTCCTTGGTTTTGGAGTTTTGTGGCTGATGTCATTGTACACCCAACTCCAGACCCCGAAGAGTGCAGAAGCTTGCTTATGTTCATTGCATCCATGAGATCAGGGCCTGGTGACTTTTTGCAGTGTTTCTACTTCTATGTGTTAGAGTACACATGTGAGGGACTCAAGGCTGCATGCATCGATGTGTTGCAAAACATATTATACCTACAAAGGATGTCTGAACCAAAGTTATACAAACTGCCTGGCAGTGTTCATGTTGAGCAATTGTGTACAGTACGGATCTAGAAATAACTTTGTGCCATGGATCAAACGGGTCTCGTTGATGTCGTGCTGGTGCAAATCTGGGCTGCTCGCATCCTGATCCGGATTGGTGAGAAGAACCAGTTCTGGACTATATTCGGGGGTGAGCATATTCGGGAGTCCCTCATGATTCTGCTCCGGTACACGCCACGTTATGCAGACCGTGGTCGTGTGGCCATCATAACTCTAATCGACACGCTGACGTCACTGCGACATCATGTGGGTCAAGGCTGGGGGTGGTGGCAGGATATTTACTATGTCCAAACTGGCCTACCTGCAACGCCTGAAGGCTTCTCGTGTGAAAGGCTCATGTTGCGAGACAATCCCAAACGGCTTCATGTGTACCTGAAGCAAGGCTGGGCAGCTTTTCAGAAGCAGCTAGATGTGATCAACCGCAGCGATGGAGTGGAGATTGATGCCATGGTGGATGACATATCCTGTGTCTTTCAAGATGCAATATGTGTAGCCTCACTTTTGAGTCCCAAGGGCCCTCCGAACAAATGTGAACGGGTCTCTGAGCTTGAGACAATGGACTAAAATGCCTCCCAGGGACGTGTTATATAGACCGATGGCAGCTCGGCACAGCTCGGCAGGAAAATTACCACGCCCAGGAGATCCTTGGTTTGCTGTTCCTTTAAGGTTTTGAGGAGCCCTTAATGGCCGGAAAATCTTACACTTGACCGTCTATGAACCCTATACCCTATCAAGTATTGTATTAAGCCCAGAGCGCCTATCCCCAACCCCAATAAACCCTACTACAAACCTCAAACCTTTTTTGGGGTTTTCATCTCAGGGGATTCTTGCCTTTTTGTACAGACCCTATACCAAAGCCACAATTATCCTGAAGTACTCATTCAGATCCGAGAACTCCATAAGCAGCAATCCAGCAAGCCGTCCCAGGCATCAGCAAATGCCTCATCACAAAACTTTGATTTTAGAGAAAACCCAATACCCTATAAACCCTATTATACCCTCACAGTCGAAACCCTAATCCATACTTAAAGCCATGTTTGTACTGTATCGCTCCTGGAAATCCCAGAACTCAGCAATCGAGCAAGCCTCCGAGGTACCATCAACTGCCTTGATTCCAGAGTGCTTCTAGGTATACCCCATAAATGCGAAACCTTAAAAACCTTATTGTGAGCCACGTACACCCTACTTGGAGGCCCTTTTGACTTAGTAAGTAGGGTTAGTAAGGTGGGTTATGGGGATTATAATAGGTTTCCAGGGGATACTAAGTAGACTTGCTAAGTCAAAAGGGCCTCCAAGTATATGTACTCGGAATCCTGTACAAATCCGAAGCCACTGTTACCCTGTACTGCTCTTCGAAACCCCACAATTCAAAGCCATAATCCAGCAAGCCCCTCTGTGGTATTATCAGATGTCTCAGTACCCGATTCCAGAGTACTTATATATATATATATATATATATACACCCTAAATCCTAATTTAAACCTTAAGGTCTACAGTCTATATAGTATCGCTAAACCCTATAAACCCTATCTGCATGCAAAGCCTGCAAGCCGGATGCTTCTGGAGTCATGCACTCGCCAGTTGGTGTGGCCCAGCGCATGCCAGGTGTGCTGTCCTTGAGGGTGCAGCATTATTCGAAGGTGTATTGTATGGCCTGATATGGGGGTTATATATTCTTATTTCCCGGTGTCGAAAGTTCTTTAGAAGCTGGCTGCCATGGTTCTGCCCTCTGAAGTGCCGGTGGTTCTCAAACGGCTGGCTAAGTTGGGAGCGCCCAAGGCTGCCAGACAATAAACCGATTGTGCATTGCATATGTGTAGTCTACAAGATCTAGAATGACTTTGGACGTGTGAACTGAGGCCTTCTTACTTCTTGTTCTGCTCACTACCTGCTTGAAAGATGCCAAGCTTGGTGTATGCAGCTACGATACATTGGAGTTCTTTGCTGGAAAGGGTCATCTCACTGCTGCTTTCAGAATGACTGGTCGTAAAAGTGCTGCCCTTGATGCAGTATACGATGATGCGGTCAAGAGAAAGGGCTCCATGAATATTATGACAGATGCTGGCTTCGTGTTACTTGACCCAAAGTTCAACTGTGGGATGCATGTGTAAGTCCTGTATCCTGATGGCTTCTTCCGGCCTAGCTCAGGCTGGCGATCATCACTTTGCTCAGGACAAACTTAGACAATAGCATCGTGGTCGTGGCGGTGTGCTGTTCCTCTTGGGTGCTGTGTGCACGGGCAACTACAGGTAGGTCTGACCACATGCCGATGGGAACGGAAAGGTATCCCAAAGTGGCTGCAGCCAATAGAATGGTGAGTCGTGTGTGTTTATTACTGCAATTGGCTACTGCATTGGGTTCAACGTGGTTGGTGGAGCAGCCTGCTTCATCTCTGCTGTTTCAGCATGATCGCATGCGAGAGATGGTTCGAAGATTTCAGCAAGTTGCTGTCAGAGCATCTTGATACTTATGGGCTTTACTTTGTTTGTCTTGTAGCATATGTTGTCTGCCCTCCTGCTACCCGTACTCACCTCAGGTCTGGAAACAACGATTCTGGATGAAGCACTACCAGTCTGCGACCCCGAAAGCTACGATGCTCTGGAGCAACAGTTCGTTTGTTTCCAAGTTCGACTTAGGCCCTTTGACGAAGGCTGCATTGAGGTCTTCAGTTCGAACGACTGATCGGTGGACTAATGCTGCAGGGCGCAAATGTTTCAAAGGTAACAAACATTTACGAGGGACACAGACTCTTGCTTGCAAGTAGACCTGGCTTTAAGCTGCTATGGCTGAAGCCCAGAAGCCCCGTTGAAAGTAAGAGTAGCTAAGGACCTACACCGTGCATTTTGCCCGGAAGATTGTTCGAATGACCCCGCTGCTGCTATTGTCGGAGACGAAAGACTGGGTCGAGGTGTATTGAGTGTATTGCACATGTTTGCTGTAGTGGTGTCCATGAAATTGCTTTGTCTTTCCAAGCCTCGAGAATGATCGATCCATATAGAAGCCACCCAGGTCGATGAGATGCAGACAATCCATAGCCTCTTCAGCGAGCTCAGCTACAACGATGTGTGGGATGATGCAGGAGTCCGTACTGCAGTTCGGTATGTCCGGGGTTCTAAAACCCTACAGCTTCCTGAAGAACTGAGGTCTCTTATTCCCCGATCCTTGTAAGCTTTTAAGCTGGTCACGGCTTGCAGCTGTAGTGATGCTTTACCGTGTATCGCGCAGGATTGAAATCGTTCACACCCAAAAGCATGCATGCACACCTGGGGCCTTGCATTCCAATACCCTCGGAGCTCCAAACCTATGACCGAACCCCAAACAGACACATAACTGCCGAGAAGTGTAGGGCGTAGGGAAGGCGTAAAAGGCCATACAAAAGGCGTAAAAGGCCGTAAAATCTGTACCCCGTAGGCCCCCGTAGGCCCCCGTAGGCCCCATAGGCCCCAGCATGCCCCGGTATAGGCTGTTCTAGGCTAACTCTGATGCAAAAAGCCGTTTGAAGCCAGTAAACCGCCATTGGTCCTGTGTTTTGTGGCACAGAACGTGGCAGGGGTGTTGTGGTCCCAGCCCGGAAACCCTCTAGAGCCTGTAATTCTGCTGAATCCCGGCCCCTACCACGCATGGCCTTCGGAAGATAGCTCAGAACAGGCTGAATCCCGGTCGTGCCCCCGAAACCCTATCTCCTATTGACCTTATAATCCTATTTCTAAAGCCCAATTAACTTATACCCTCTAAGCCTCCTACTAATGCCTTGCTGTGTTCGGCGATGACCTCTGCAACACCCCATGCTGCCGAATCATTTCACCGAGTGCACCTATACAGACATGGCCTAGAATATATCTAATAAATCCAGAACTTTGTACCTCGTATCGATCTTTACAAACCGTAGTTCATCGACCCCTGAATCGTAGAAAACCCTCACTTTGTAGTCATGCATATATATATATATATATGTATGTGTGTGTGTGTATATACCCTCCTAAATCAAACCTTACTGTGCCCTTAGTGGTGTCTGCTGAAAGGTGCTAATTCGTGCAAAATAATTTCTAATTGATCCCAAGACAGTATGCAAGGATGCTGGCAGGAAAAACCCTTGTCCAGTACGGCCATGCATGCATTTTGTCGAAGCTGCAGTCACCATGTTGCTGGGGTTCCAGATTTTTGCTCAGGCTTTTCAGTGAGGCGACCCATAGAGGCGCCATATCAGGATATGGCTGGAGAGCTAGGACAACCCGGCTCAATGTCGTTGCCCTCTCGTGAGTTTTCCAGTGAAACCCTGACAACTGGCTTGAAGACCCTCGACTTTCAGCAGATCAAGCAAGAGTCGGATCAGGGCCTTGATGAGCGCATGAAGGATCCTTGGTTAGAATGCATATATGGCTTGGCTGTTTCTTTTAAGCCCTACAGACATGTCCTGGCAGGAACTGGAGGCCCTCATCCTAAAGGAAGAGTCGTTGGCCACTAGCTCCGCTGAGCCTCCTACAACGGAGCCAATGGCTGCTGAACCTGCCACCCCAGCCCAGACAACCTTGATGCAGGCTACCCCAAAGTCCTCAGCAATCCTATCGGGCCCCAAGAAGAAGCTTCGCCTGCAGTCTCCTCAAGATGTCCGAAAGAACTTGTTCAGTAGCCCAATTGCAGCCACGATTCCAGATGCGGTCTTGGAGGAGGCCGTGGGATGCTCCTTGGATAGTGGGGATGCAAAGGATAGAGCCCTAGCCTGGGTAAGGGAAGGCTCCTATGAGGAAGCCATCGACGAAACGATCGATGAGGATTTGGCTAAGGCGAGATTCGAGCTTCAACAAATCCTTGTGTGTGATTGTTTCAACAAGCTTCTGAAGCATTATAGGTCTTGTGAACTTTCATTGTTCAGGCATTTGAGGCAATCCAACTTGCTGACCCCTATCTTGTCTATGCTGGGAATGGTGATACCAGTATGGTTTCGGATGTGACCAACAAGGCGGCGAGTGACAAAGCCGATGGGGCCTCGGATGTTTCTACGTGCACAGCTGGCTTCTCCCACGAGGAAAAGCTAGCTATGGAAGCACGTTGCACGAAGCTCCTTGACCAGGCTACTAAGCTTTCTCAGTTCCTGAGGGATCGTGACTCCACGATCGAAGCCCTTCGTCAGGAACTGCAGTCTGAGCGCCAAAGGGTTCAGGAGATGCAGGCCCGAGCTTCGGAGGTCAGTGCAGCCCCCGTGGAGTCTGATGCAAAGGCCCCCTCGTTTGAGGATCTAGATGACAAAGGGAAGGAGGCTGCACGTGCAAAGCTACGACGGTTCTGCCAGAGAAAGGCTGACGGATCGTTGAATGTTCCGCTTGAAGTTCACCTTCAATGGAAGGAAGCTGGAGCGGGACGTGATAAACTCCTTCACATGTTTGTCTCCACGAACTTCAACCGCGACCCTTTCCCTGCAGACGTGCAAGTTGTCTTATACTCACCCTTTAGCATGATTACAACTAAGCATTGACCCCATCACCTCCCAGGAGCAAATGCTGAGACAGATCAGCTTGGAGCAGACCAAGAGCAAGGAGATGCAACTCAGCATCAAAGGGAATTACTACACGGAGACGGAGCTCCGTGACGAGAAAAAGGTGCCGGAGTTGCTTGTCTGCAGATTCATAAGCCTCCGTTGGTCACAGATCGGCTCCCCTACATTCTAAACGCAAATGTAAACCTTAATCAACCCTGATAATAATCCCTGAGCCATAAAAGCCCTTGCCCGGCACTCATTCTTGCGAACCCTAGCAGTGCTAGGGGCTCCCACCTGAAGCCCGAAAGCTGTGTCTTAGTCTGTTACAGCCATATCGAATATTTTATATCGGCCAAGATTCTGATGATGGCTACTGCCAAGTGTTGCCTCAGATTGCTGGTTTGTGGTTACCAAAGAGCATCGGGTTTATACAAGGTTGCATTGGTATTCACAGGACACCCACAATCGTATTGAAAGTAGGGAATCCTTGTAGTCATTGTATCCAGAATCATGGCATCAACTGTCGACACAATATGTTGGGTTCTGAAGTCGTAGCTCGAAGACTCCTGTTATGTCGATGACGATGACGATTATTGCTTCTCCTACTGCTAGTACTACTACTGCTACTGTTACTTTTACTGCTACATGCTACATACTACTCCTACTGTTACTGCTGCTGCTACTGCTGCTGCTATAGTGCTAGAAGTAGTACGGCTGATGGACAAAATCCTGCATTACCCACTATAAGGAATATACGCCATAATTCCCATAATTTAGAGTCCTTAAGGATTTTGTCCATCAGCCGTAGCACTAGTCTTAGTATTAGTATTACGATTATTATTAGTAGTAATAGTAGTAGTAGTAGTAGTAGTAGCTAGTAGTAGTAGTACTACTACTACTACTACTACTACTACTACTACTACTACTACTACTACTACTACTACTATTAGAAGCTGCCCCCACCTTGTAATAGTGGTATAATAGGAATATAATAGGGCCCTAATATAATCCTATATAATCCTTATGGTCACTATTACAGGGTGGGGGCAGCTTCTACTACTACTACTACTACTACTACTACTACTACTACTACTACTACTACTACTACTACTACTACTACTACTACTACTACTACTACTACTACTACTACTACTACTACTACTACTACTACTTACTACTACTACTACTACTACTACTACTACTACTACTACTACTACTACTACTACTACTACTACCACTACTACTACTACTACTACTACTACTACTACTACTACTACTACTACTACTACTACTACTACTACTACTACTACTACTACTACTATACTACTATTACTACAAGCCTGGAAGGAAGGACACAAAACAGCATTAATCCTGATCACCTTTAATCGACACACACCTCAAGTTGCTGAGTGTCCTTTCAACCGGCTCCTACTACTACTACTACTACTACTACTACTACTACTACTACTACTACTACTACTACCTAATACGACAACTAGTAGGGACATGAAGAAACAACAGCAGCAGCACCAGCAGCAGCAGCAGCAGCAGCACCACCACCACCACCGCCGCCAGCCCCAGCACCACTAACACCACAACCGCCACCACCACTGCCACCATCACCACCACCAGTACCACTACCGGCCCAAGCACCACTACCACCACCAAAAACAAAAACAACTAGGGCTACTACCAGCACCACTACTGCTACTACTACTGCTACTACGGTTGATGATATAAATCCTGCATTACCTGAATATACAATAATTCCAATAGTTTCTAAGGTCCTTAAAAAAATGCAGGGTTTATATCATCAACCGTATGACAAAGGCTTCAGGGCTTTGTTGTCTATGCATTTTTCAAGTGTCTCTAGAGTATACAGAGTTCAGCAGGGTCAAGGGGGGTCAGGTTTACAAGTTTGTGTAGTGCAGCATCCATGCAAAACAACATGAGGTCCCACGAACTGCCATGCCGACCCATCCTTCAAACTCCCTGTATGTATGATGCAACGTGTTTGGGGATTGAGGGCTTTCGGGAATTTTCCTTGAAGGTTACATTGCCCCAGCTTCGCTGACCTGCTGGCAATGCAGGATAGAAGGTTAAGGGCTTCTGGCTTATATGTGTTCAGGGCTTAGGGTTTAGGGCTTATAGGGTTTAGGGCTTGGGGTTTCGGGCTTATAGGGTTTTAGGGCTTAGGGTTATAATTAGGGTTTTGGGCTTAGGGTTTAGGGCTTACTTGGAGGCGCTTTTGACTTCGTAAGTCTACTTAGTATCCCCTAGAAATCCTATTATAATCCCCATAACCCAGCGTACTAGTCCTATGACTAAGTCAAAAGGGCCTCCAAGTAGGGCTTATAGGGCTTAGGGTTCATAGGGCTTAGGGTCTATAGGGTTTAGTATTTCTTTTGGGTATATACGGGATAAAAAGGGCAGCTTTGTAGCAGTCGGTGTCTATGGATGCCGATTCTCAAGCGCACGAACTGCCAAGCCCCAAGTTACTACAACCCTATATAATATGACGAAGCCCAATGGTCTCATAGATGCTTTTGCCGTGTGGGGATGTCAATATGATACAACCCAGAAATTCAGCCCCCTACATAAACCTTACAATGAAACAACGCCGGAACACCATGCTATGAAAATTAAACGCCCTCCTGCTGACCAGGCATCGCATCGCCGAGATCAAGCAGTTCTGCATGCAGAATCCGAAGTTCATGCGGTGCCTTGGATGATAAAGTCTTTGGGCTTATATCTTGGTTCCTGGTGTGCTTAGGAAAGATGTCTACAATGACAAGATTGTGAAGTTCTGGTACGAAGAAGAGACTTCCGCATCCATGATGGCAACAGAGAAAATGGAGTACAAGGATAAGACACAGGTGGAAGCTGGTGTTGACATCGATGATGAAGGTTATGTCAGAATGGGTTCAGGCATGGAGTTCGACATGAACTTTGATTCGTTCGGACCGAACATGCCGGGATCTTCCAATGATATGCCAACGGTCAAGGGCAGTGGCAAAGGTTTCTCGATGCATCTATACAGTGCATGTTTCTAGGTGCATTCAATGATCAGATGCAGTATGTTGCAGCTGAAAACATACAGGTGGCTCCGAGATTGCCCTGCCCAACCTAGCCGATGGCCAAGACCCAACGGGCTTCATTGTGCCCTACCAGGATGGTATTCTGGCCAAGGCTACGAAGCTTGCTGATGTTGCTGGTAAGCTAGATGTGGCC